GAACTTTTCCAAGTTGTTTGTGTGGAAGCAAAATGGTTTCTAGAAAAAACTGACTTTACTCATCAGTTTATGTGCCAGCTGCCAGAGTTGAAGTGCACAGTCAAAACAAATGACTATTCAAAAAAAACTAACCTGGTTACAAAAGTCTTCACTGTATGGTGCAATCAGTAGAAAGTCTAGAGAATAAGAGAACTTTTGAGTATGAGGAGGAACATTTGATTAGATCGTGCGGAACAGAAATTAGTTGTACACTTATTCATGGAAGGCGTGCCGTTTTCCATTAAGTACAAATCTGAAAGTTCATTGTGAAAATCAAGCTGCTCGAATTCGATGGAAGTAATAAAGTTACAAAAGTAAAAATCCCTGTAGTGTACTTTTTCTCACGAAGAGCTTGGTCTGATAAACTGTCAATCTAACCCGTTTTTATTGAACCATTCTTTCCTAACATATTAGAGTGCCTTAGTCACGTCTCGCGATTCGCAATGTTATTGTTTTCTAACGGTTTGAAAAGTTTAGGTTCTTTCCAACTTGTCTGTCGAGTGCGGTATTCACAAGTGTCATCTGAGTGATGCAGGTGCCGTTTAAGGGCTTTCAAGCTGTGCCTCATCCTGCTTCCGGGGATGATTACCTTACGGACACAGTTTCAATGCTTTTGGTCTAACCCCCAAACAACTGGAATCACTGCGACATCTGTACGCTTCTATCTGTCAGTGGTTTTTCGGAGCGCAATCAGAGATAACAACCGCAACATATGCCTTCAGTAAACCCACAGCCTGAAACGAGGGCTGTCAGCCATATTTTACCAGCTTTTTGTACATCCAGAAGTAGAAGAACGATCAGCCAACTTAACAAACCCCAATATGTCAAGTATTGTCTACCATTCTTAGGTTGACACCATCGGCTACTAAGACAGTCATGCTTCACGGCCTACAGGCGAATTATTCCACTATTCTTTGGGAGATAACAACTGTGGTTCAGTGTTGACTGCGCGTTCTTTGACCTCTGCCATTGGCCTATCAGGCATGCATGCTGTGATATCGTTCAAGTGGGTTGTAACCAGATTTGGAGGCTGGAGTTCAAGCTGCCCAAAGGTATGAACTAACCCCGCTTCTCAAAAAAGCATGTTCCTTCGCTGCAAATTACCTCCTGTGTCACTGCAATTATCTCTTCATTCAATAACACTAGGTCTACTCTACTAGGTCTACTGTGCTAAATGTAGGTCTCTGGTGATAATCTGGATTTGTTAATGGAACTCATCCGAAAACTTATCAAAGTAATCGCTACAATCTGTTATTCAATAACATCACAAAAGTAAGATAATTGATATGTAAACGAGCACGTAATGGAGGGAAAACTTATTGAGAAATTGTGGGCCGTCCACTCCACGTTCAGACTGTTTTGCAATAGCATGCCCCCAAGACGGGAGCAGTTTCAAGAAGAACTGTCTCGTCCCAAGAGCATTTGTTTGAATCTTTGGTTGCCACCAAAAAACATGGATGTTTTCATTAAGGCTGTGGTTGGCAAATGCTTATGAAATTTTCTATTGTTTTTGTGTAAAATTTTAATAAACACATGGATGAATAAGGGTATGTTGCTAGGGGTAGCGGGTGGATTTTATGCCTGTTGTACAACAAGCTCTTCAACTAAACATGTTAACTAAAACACTTGAGACAAATTGAATGTATTCTGTTGCTTGCAGTGATAGCTTTTAAGCAATACCACGAGAAACCGCCGTGGTAAATTGTCGTTCTCGTTGTAACTGCCGAAATTCTCGATCGGATTTCTTACTGACTCTCGTGCGTGATCACACCCAACAAGTGTGGTGAGTATCCGTAACTCAGTAATTGCAATGGTTCAGAAGACCAGAAAGTTAATGGTGAATGCAGTAGAAGGAGAAATTAGGGCGCTGCAGAGAAAAGAAGAACATCAAAAAAGTCATACAACTCAACAATTAAAGTAAGGAGTAGTTCGAACTGGAATGTGAAGGTGAGTTGGTATTAGAACACGCAGTAACATGCGACCGCTTTTTTCGTCAGGGATTGATAACTAAACCAATGGTGAAGAAAATCTCAGTTTCATTAGCAATTAATTCGCTGTTTCATTGAGAGCAACTTTTCCGCTAGAGGAAATGTTCCATGCACCTAACGTGATGTGCTTCTAAGGATAGCTAGATTTTGGAAGATCTCGACAACGTTTGCTCATCAATGAAGTTACTGTAACTGAATGTCTTGAATGACCGTCATTTCGGGTTTGAACTTACCGTAGGTGTCGCTCTCCTGCCCCACCCCAACCACTGTTCCACAACCCTTTCCCTCTCCGTTAAGCAATTTGTTAACACGCTACATTAGGAAATCGTAAGATTCTCCCTGTTGATGTGGTGGAGTTAGTTTGTCCCCATCGACCTTGATCGTGTAGAGAAGCTCTGTTGCCTCCTCTTGAACCAACTGCATGTAATCGTAGTGACAGTCGGAGAACAAGCCGGATTCCCAATGCTGTTGGGCGCGTTTAGCCAGCTACCGTGAAAAGAATACAGATACGAAGCAGATGTGTTACGTCTGATCCGAAAAAACACCGCATGTGGTTCTAATCAATAACATGCAAGCAGGACTTACTGGGCAGAATGTTATCCATTTCTGCGCCAAGAAACTAGGCACCCAGTTAACGTCAGAACTGGTTTCGGAAAGTTACGTTTATAAGATTCAGTATAAATCAGTCGCGCCGATTCCACCAACTTTTCACCTTGACTGTATAACATCTAATGTGGTAGGATCTGTTGGTTGAAGAAAAGCGCAAAAGTTCTTGACCAGGCCTGGTACGCTTCGCCCAAACTTGGTGATGATAATGGGCCATCTTTTGAGCACCGTGCGTTCTTACTTAGAACAATTTTGCCAATTCGCAAATTTGAGCGCTGCAATAAAGACACTAGAATTGACACTCAAACCATTTTTTATCAGCTTATCCATACCAAATTACCGATTAGGAAAAGATTTCCTTGCTCTGTACAAAACATGGACTGCACAGCCAAATCGAAAGATGTTGATCAGTTGCTAATCCCAAGCTAAGTTCAAACCATTCAAAGTGCTGGGTCGAGTTCCTTTTGGACGCATAAGTAAGGGTTTAATGGTTCTTTTTGCAATGCCGGCGAGCTTTCAAATACATGAGTTCCTATGAATAAATCGAACAGTGGAGCTTGAGGTCAAATCAATCGGATGACCTGCGGCCAAGTAGCGTCTGCGAAACAACGACTGCGGTAGCTGTTAGTTGGAGCAATCTGTCGAGTATTTTACTGCAATACGAATTTGGATCCAGGATGTGAGTTGCTATATCGTACGAGCGTTGAGTCGTCCATCAATTCCCCCCGTGTATCTTGTTCGCTGTTACAAATGGACTGTTTCTCACAGTGAGACCGCCCCTTCCCTGTTATAACCATAACAACCTGTTCACTAGGAAACTTAAACTAGGGCACTGGACATGAAAGCAAACATATCGTCTGCATAGAGTTTTTGAAAACTGAACATTCTCAAGCGTCATCTTTAACTTTCCTGGACGTTCTTGAAAAACAATGAATGAACGCCGAAAAGTGCATCCATGATTTCCGTAGTAACCTTCACCTGCCGTCAGATGTGGGGTGGAGTTTGGATACCAGATCAGACACAACTCACATGCTTCATAAGTAGTGTATGCCGTTACCCATACATTCCATAATATCACCATATCTAATAAGTCTACATAATCTAGGCATGCTTAGTGTCCTCCAACTGTGGTACTGTTGTCTCTGCTGACAACCGACGAGAATAGCAAAGCAAAAAGTGAACTTACTAGTTTGCAAAAGTCTGTATCTTCGAAAGCAGCGCTTTGATCCAAGAGTCGAACTTCAGTTTCTGCGTCAATAGGCAAACATAAAGACATATTTGACAACGATCAATATTGAAAATAGTGGAAAGACACAAAGACTCACTGTTTTGATTTATTTCAACTGAAGTCAGGATAGTATTCTGTTGGATAAGGGTTTGACTTTTTAGGTCAACCTACATTGCCGACACCAGCACGCAGCATGTGAACTCCTCTTTGAATTCGACCAATTTAGTACGCTCTGGCAACGTTTCCTCTTGTCCCTATTGTAATGATCTTCCACATTTATGACATTCTGTTGATTTCTCCTCTCTCCAAAAATGCGACCGTCGCGTCCACAGTTATCTGCCGTCCCACTAAAATTCCTGATATGTCCATTCCTCATCGGCGTTCTCTGAATGTTCAATTGTGCATTCTTAAAACCGTCACACGCACACGAATACGCACTTTTTCATTCGAGAGCCCTTGGATACGGCGAACTGTGCTTACTGAAGTGACTGACTGACTGAAACGTTTGCATCTGTGCCGCACTGCCACGATTGATGGGACGTCCCAGTGCTTCACACTCAGACCACATGGCTTAAATGCTGGGAATCTTAAGATCCAAGACTCACTTAACGTTATAGGGTGCACAAACTCTGTGCACACTGTCATCAATAAACTAACGTTACTTCTATGCAAGCACCACGTCTACGAGAACACGTTCGTACACATTGATGTGGTAGAAGCCAACCGAAGTGTTAATCAAATAGTTGGTGATAGTTTAGAAAAGTTACACGACATGACGTGACTATCATCGGAATTTTCCCGACTACGACTGTGAGTCGCCAAAAATTAGACATATCAGTGCTTTTCACCAGACATGGTTTTCAGTGTGCCTTGCCCAAACATGCATCGTGATAATTTGGGATGTTGCCACAAAGTAAAACACTCTCGGTTCCGCTGGGTAGAATGAACAATACCTGGGACATCCCATGCGACCTCTAACGGAAAACCTTGGGAAGAAGGCATATTTCAATAAGGTGCGTGTAGAGCCGCTCGTGAATATGGAGGGAGGCATTGGTAGCTCAGCTTTTGAGGTTGACGGTTGACTGCGTTTAGGTGCTGGGACTTCTCCGGGACTGCATCGATAAACCACTTAGCACTGAAGATGTCACATTTGTTGGTCGAAGTAACTTCAAAACAACATTGCAAAACTGAAAATCGTATAAGGATTCAACCCTTACGCGCCATCAATATCATGCTTTTTTTACCATTAATCTGGGAAATCAATCTTGAAAAATTTCACGGAAGACAGATCACAAAAACTAAGTAAGTGACGCAAATGGGCCAGCTGAAGCGGCGAAGGTGGTTGGGATTTTTCCACTGAACACTGTTCTTATTTGAAGCCAACGAAGTGACCTGAAATGATTAAGAAATAGTTGACAGTTGAAGGTACCACCCAAAGATTCGGTGTGTTGGAAAATGCTTCTGCCTGTGCTTTTGTTATTGAATCCATAACTTATACATAACAATTGTCCTGCAGAAGCAATAACTTGTTTAACGCTACCCAACGTAAGCCTCACTCATGGATGTGCGACAGCTTTTGGACTATCCATCCAATAAAACCAAATTATGTTACCTTAAGTTAAATTTTTAAGGATAAAGAGTTCCGTTCATTTTGCTTTTTATATTTTCCTTGGTTTCTAAAAAGTATGAAATTCTCTATCATGTTAAAGGCCAAAAGTAAATCTCAATTAAGGCTAACCGAAAGACACTAAAAATCTCTCATCAAGGGACCACAAATTCAAGGATTCAGTCCACATTGTTTATCAATAGATAAATTCTCTATCATGTTAAAGGCCAAAAGTAAATCTCAATTAAGGCTAACCGAAAGACACTAAAAATCTCTCATCAAGGGACCACAAATTCAAGGATTCAGTCCACATTGTTTAGTAAATCAATAGATCACAAGAAATTTCTCTCATCATGTGGTGTACAAGCTTATCGATTGCTCATTGTAGTCAAATTGCACCCGGAAACATTCCTTATGCACCGTATCAGTGTCCACTGATATTTTATTGCATAGTCCTGTTTAAAATCTGCAATCTTGTGTCAATATAATTGTGCCACCATAAGCATTGGAGCACAGCTAGTCAGTTTTCAACGTACCGATAATCGTTCCAAAGGCTAGGCTTATAGACACAGTTGCGTACCAGAAGACCAGTTGCTTCATTTTCTTATTCTCTGATGTTGTAATCGAACTTGCTTGCCGGTTACATTTGACGAAGTCTACTTTTCTGTGAATTATATACTTATTCTCTAACCAACAGGGTTAAGCCCATGTACGAGCAAACGGACGCAAATGAATTTTCATGCATGAGTTCTGTAGTTCGTTGTGCCAAGCAAATGTCACTGCTTGATGTCCAGTGACTGTGATGTGAAGTTCCAGTAACAGGAGACATGAAATTCGCTCGAACTCAAACTAAGAATGATATTCAGGTGAAAGCACTTACCAGATGAATGGACAATACAATCACTCGGTTACATGGCAAGAGTGGATATAGGGTTTGGTAGATTGGTCATGATAAATATCGACTCAAGATACTACTCGTCCAAAAGTCGGGAATGGCCACAATCTAGGAAATAAGGTCACAACAGCGCGTCATTTAGGATCAGTAAAAACTCGACCTGTGTGTGATGACTTGAAAGAACCGTTGTTCCTCCGTCTCAGATTTTTCCAATACTTTATCGAAAGTGCAACTCGCGTTTTATTATCTACAGGGGATTAGGCCCTACCATAGACGAAAGCCAAAAATGAACCACTAAAATATCGGAAGAGTGAGCTTCCCCCATAATACAGTCCCAAAATTGAAACCGTATGTTACAAGAAAAATTAACTCGTATAAATGTCTCACCATAGTTGTTGGCTTGTTCGCTGAGCTGGCTATCAAATTGTCCAAATCAAATTGCAATCAAATTGCTCAGCTCAGCGAACAAGCCAACGACCATCTACCCTAGCTGAGCTACCAGCATTTTCAACGACAGATTTTCAGCAACCGTATGAGTAGTACATTACAAAGATAGGCCAACATTTCCCTCCATAAATGACTCACCATGGTTGAAACGCTGCACGAGACAGACACACTCGTTTGTGATGCATATGTTGCCGAAAGCTTCTGGCACTGTCAACTCTCCATCTTTAACACTTTTTACCAGTTTGCGAGCAAATGGAACGATGATCGCAAAGAAACGTTTGTAATGTTTAAAAACCAGTCGACCTGATTACCGCGAAACGTCAAGATGAATTCAGATTTGTGAAATTCTCTCCCAAATAATGCTTCTTAGTATACTCTTCTTATCATATGAATGTGCCACTTCTACTCGTGACGATTAACGGACGAAAATGAACAATAGCTAAGAAAATCCCAGAAGCTAACATTGCTGGACATTTATATTTTACACCAAACTTTCACCAACCCGACATTCTTTCTTGGTCATTTGAGTACTTTATCACTTATACGAATTACAGCCTCTCAGCCTACACTGAAACCATTTATAACGCTTGCCGTAATCCACTTGGGTAATTTTGGTTTTATTCAAAAGATTCTGCGTTTTTATTGCAAGTGATGGGACTTCAATCAGTGTTCATTACCGTTTTGTGCAAGTATGTGAGTCACTTACGAATGGCTGAATATTCACACACGTTTTGTACGACAGTCTACTGAGTGCCAAAACCCCAATTTGGACTAAGGGTGTTGTAATGCACAATGTGTAAACAGAGTGACAATGTTAAGGCAAATTTTGGCTATTCTGCTGCTTTTTTATTGCAATTCATTTGTCATGTAAAAGTTTGTGTACTCCCCAAAGTTATAGGTGAGTCGACGGCACATTTCCACTTTGAGTAAACACCCCAAGGACGACTTATTTTGCGTCTCTAGCAATTTTTACGCCAGGACTGTGTCTCCTAGCGAACGTGACACACTTAAAATAAGTTTAAACCCCATAGACTCCGAAAATTCTAACGAAGACGGAGCAAACTACCCATATGGTTGCTAAAAACTCTCTGACAGTCGGTTATCCACTTTCTGAGGCTCATCAGGTGAGCAATGTCCACGAGTTCCATCAACCCTATGTTCTACTTGAACTACTGTCAAAACGTTTTTCAAACCTCATATACAGGATGTTATCCCAAAGAAACGTCAGTTACCCATTAATTTCCTACTGACATCGAATCTACTAATACTTGATAACATCGAATAGAAAAACACGGACAAGACGTGTTTTTTCCAACATCGAGGTCAGGGTTCTCCCACATTTTTAGGCACATAAGGACCAAAAAATAATCAACGTCGCTTCACTAATACTTCATTAGATAAGTTATGCATGATAGCCTTTTATGCACATAGAACTATCTTTCTCGAGGCTTTTCGTCGATTAGCGCACAAACTGAAGAGCTACTTAATACGTGACAAGTAGCTAGAAATACGGAAAAAACCTAGTACGCAAATGAGGAATGTTTCTGCCGGCACTGAATCGCTGGTATCTGTTACGATTTCCTTTTAATTGCAGACAGTTCTGATCCGTCAAAAACAACCTGTGGCTACAAGTGACCGCCACTTTGCGTTTTCCAGCATTCCTAAACCAATGAAAAAAACACGAATATAAAATCCTCATTGACTGGAGTTACTTTGCACGCTCCCGACTGTTTACGATGCACGAACTCGCACACAGAACTCATTAGGAGAACAAAAACAGAAAAACAATTTTTTTTATTTTTGAGTGATCGTTTTAGTTATTGCATGACAGATTTACATGACAATAGTCAGAATTCGCGTGCAGCGGTTCTGAGAACTTCACAGGTATATATTGATAAATAACGTGGTGGTAGGTGGATCAATGGACCATGAACTCAGAAAAAGGGACGTTAATGAGACAAGTTTATGCTTCATAGGATGACTAAAGTTTAGAGCTTGTGCAAGAATTATTCCCTTCGAATTGTGGTTCATTTAGCCGTATTTCTGTCATCTCAGTAACTGTTAATAATTCTAACATTGCCAGATCTGGTAAGTAAAGAGATGCTCCACATACGACGTTTAAGGCAAGTTCTTTGTCTACAGGTCTAAGATGTGACTGCTGAGCCTATTCCGGACACTAGTCAAAGGCACCGGACTGCATACACCTGCTGGATATTGGTCTGGTGATAACTGTACTGTTAGTCAAGCTTCCAAACCTTTCCCCAATTTACTAGGAATCCTCAACCGAGCCAACCGCGTATGTTGATCGAATTCCTGTGAGCCAGTTGTCATCCCTGGTGAACATATCAAATGCCAACTCATCAGTAGCCAGCAAAACGCACCAACCAAACGTTCCTGATGTTCATTAGTATGTACTGTCACCAGTATGAATCTTTCGTGGATAGCTGCGGTGAAAGACGGATCTTGAAATTTGTGTTCCGCTAATAACTAGGCGGAGCATACACCTTCATTGTCTTTCCAGAAAGATTCGCACAACAACATTGACCCGCACCATTTACACGTGTTCGTACTAATCCGAGCGCAGCCTTGATTCGCTCCATTCATCAGTCATGTAGTCGGTACATGCAGTGCTCTAGAG